AACAATAAACTATTCTATTTGATTTTTAATTATAGTGGAAAATGATTTTTTATCATCTAAATGTTGTGCATTAACAGATGAAAAAATCGATGAAAATTCTTTCATTCAAGATGAGTGTGTTCTTATTGATCAATCTGGTTTACTCAATGTTTTTCATACATTAACTCGAGCTAATTATAATAGAGTAAGATTTCAAGACTTATTCTACATTTTAACAATTCTCTAGAACATTTCGCGCAAATAGAGATCTGAAAATAATATTTATCTACTCATTTTTCTTATGAGTCAATTTTGTTGAGAATAAAATATATGAATCAGACTAAAGATGTAGACAATCGAATTGAGAAATAACTAAATGAAAGTTTATTGTACTTACGAGAAAAACGGCTTATTGTAAATTAAATTAAGTTCATGAAAAGTAGAATACGGCGATTCCAGAAAAAATGGAACCGAAAACCGACCATTTAGAATGGGGGTAGGACAGTTCGCAGTTCCAAGTTCAGATGAACTGACTAAAAGAACTGTCAGTACAGTTCTTTGAAAAAAGCTGAACAGAACCAACAGTTTTTTTTAGAGAACTGTTGTGAAAACTAGTTTTTCGTAAATAAAAACAAATTTGAAACAGACCAGTTCCTCTGAAACAACTGTTGATACAGTTCAGTTCTATTCAAAAGAACTATTAAACACTTCCTAAGAACGGACCTAATATGGAACTGTCCTACGCCCAGTTTAGAACCGAAACCACTCTTTTCTTATTTTTACTGACCAGATTCAGACGGGAATCGCGGTTTCGATTTTGGTCCCGGATAATTTTTAGAACCGCCGTACTCTAATGAAAGGCTACTGAACTAAGTGCCATTTGTTAAAAAGATGAATAAAAAATGAAGATTTTTTCTCAAATTTAATATACAGAAACTTTAAAAGTTCTCGTTAGTGCGACTCATAGAAAGATAAAAAGTTATTAGAATTGTAACCGACAATTTCTATACAAAGATCGGCTCAATAATTTTCATTACAACTTAACCCTTTGAGTCCCGGTGGGATATATATGTCCCACCTAGCGAAAAATTCTAGTTTTCAAAAAATTTCGAATATATTTAACAAATGTTCGTAGTTAAGACATATTTGTACCAGATTGAAAATTCTACTGAGTCAGTTTTTAGGCTCCCGTTCGTATACCTCTAAGGAAGTAGCTAAAATATCTCTCATCATTCCCGTAGGGCGCACGGCTAAAAGTTAAAAATGACTTAAAATATTTTTTTAAAGTATCAATGGAACTGTCGATAATACTCAATGCTCATACAAAATATCAAGTTTTTAAGAGATTTCGTCCATAGATTAAATCGTGGGTCTCAAAGGGTTAAAAGCTTTTAATCGTAGGGAATAGTCATTCGATAATCCGAAGAATATTTACAATAGATTATAAACTCATAATCTTTTTCTTTCTAGTTAAAACATGAAGCTCGTATATCATTAAATTCTTTTAATGATCCAGTTATTGATCATTTTCAAACTCTATTCATGACTACAATGAAACCAATCAATAGCATGGATGCAATTATTCAGTAAATAAAATATATATGTTTGTTTTTTTCTTTAAATCTGTTTTTAGAATTTTTTCACTTGATAAACATGAAAAACTTCTTGAAGAAAAATCAAATAAAAATCAATTAATTATGGATAATCTTAATAATAAACATTATTTATTATGTCAACAAGTTATCAGTCTACTTGAATATGGTTTAAAAGAGCGTATCAGTTTACTTTGTCCTCTACCATCAGTTACTCAACTAACAAAAACCGTAAGTTTCTTATCTTTATTTTTCTTACATTTGCACACATAAATACACTATCAACCTTTTGCGGTAAAACAGTAAGGCGTTTTTTTTTCTCAAATGGAAAACGAATTATTAATAAAATTTCATAAAATATCAAATATTTTTCATGAACAATTTTATTCATCTCCTATTCAAAAACATAATCAAGAATATTTGGAAAATCTTTATGAACAATTAAATCAATGGAAAAGACAAACTATCGAACAAATTGAAATATTAATTGAAGAAAAACGAAAAGAAATTAAACAGTTTTATGATAATTATTATTTGGAAATAAATAAACAATATTCAATAATAAATGAACAAATTAAAACAGAGAATTTCTCATTCGATCTTGATGATCAAGTTGAATATTTATATATTTATTCTCAAGTAAATTCAATAGAAAAACGTTTACATTTAAATACAACTTTATTTACAAAAAATCAAATCAATGAGACAATTAAATTACATTATGCACATTATCGAGAATTAACTACTAAAACAACGATTTTACCTTTGAAAGAAATGATGAAAGATAAATTACAAACTACTTATAATAATTATCCATCATTAATAAAGAAACCAACAGCAAATAATAATTATCCATCACTAATAATGAAACCAACAGTAAATAATAATTATCCATCATTAATAAAGAAACCAATAGCAAATACTAATGATCAACATCAATTACCTAAAGAATATTTATTCAAATCATTAACAAGTACTTTGTCTTTAAAACGTACAACAGTAAATAAGTCAATTGATAATTATCCTTTAGAACATCCTACTTACGTTCCAGTTTTAATTGATAAAACGCATGAAATACATAAATCAAATCAAAATCTAAATAAATATATTAGTGATTCTTTACTTCTGTCTGATATTCAACAACGATCACGACCTATTATTGATGATAGTAAAAACTTTATTCAAATCTATAAAGTACTTTTATCTAATGAAAATAATTCTCAAAAATTACTAGAAGAAAATCGTCATCCGTACACTAATTCTAGTCATGCATTATATGATTTAAAAAATGTTAATCAAACTGATCCATCAATAACAATGTTTCTACAATATGAATCAAAATTTAATTGTATTGCTAGTTCAACAAGACACAATGAATTAGTAATATATAATTCAAAATTAAATATTTTCATTATTTTACAACATGAGCCAAATAAGAAAATTTGTCGACAACGTTCATATTTTCAATGGCCATTAAATTTAAGTTCAAATCTATCTGATATAACATATTGTCAAATGAATGATCAATATTTAATTTCAACTAGTGATAATAGTCATTTATATTTATTTAATCAAAATTTATTATCTGTCAACGATTTAGGTTCTTTATCTGATAATCAATCGTTGAATCGTATTCATTGTTATGAAAGAACTGTATACTGCATATTAGGAGATTTTAGTCTTGTTGAATATCAATTAGATGAACGAAATTTAATTATAAAAAGAAATAAAAAAATCGATTTATTTAGTTCAACTGAACTTTTATTAGACGTTACTTGTGATAAAAACAATTTAATTGTTGTTTATAAACATGAAAATAATGAAATTTACTTACGAAATATTAATCGCACATTATTAAATATCCAATTCGAACTCTTACTTGATAATAAACAACAAATTGAACGAAATTTTATACGAATAGAATCAACCCGATACGATGGAAATTTTATTTATATGAATAGTTTATGCAAATATTTAAAAACTATTGATTTGATTTATTATAAAAATGGACAAATAACATCAGTTTCACAGAAAAATAATTCACCGACAAATATTTGTGTATTAAAAGATAATCGTTTAGTTATTTTATATGAAAAACCCTATTTTTTATCTGTTTATAATTATCATAAATGAATTTAATTATTTCGAAAAAAAAAATGTTTGAAATAAATTACTATACTATTTTTCTTTTAATATTTATTTTAGTGGGCAATTAATGAACCTGTACCAGCAAGAACATCGATAACATTTGGTATTATTTTTTCCGATCAATACGATTTATCAATATTGAAAGGACCAGAAAACGGAACGAAAGAAGTAAGAAAATCCTTACCTCTTTCTAAATGCACATTTTTTATTTTAATAGGCACAAGCATTTAGAAAATTATGGAGTGAACGATGTGAATTACGTCGTTTTCCTGATGGATCAATTCTTGAATCCGTCGTTTGGAATGTTGATACAGCAAAAGATAAACGACTTATATGGATGGATGCAACTCGATATCTTTTAGAAATGTAATTATCTTTTATGTTATTTTCGAAAAATTTTATTCTTATTTTACTTTAGACAAGGTGGAATATCACCAACTAATATTGAATTTTTCTATAATGATCAACTTCCATCGAATTTACTTTCTATTCCAGCTCGTCTTCTTCCATCATATGGAACAGGTGATGAACAACAGATTTATCTTTGTCAAGAATTAGTTGAATTATCAAAACAAGTTCGAACATTGAATACTGAACTTCCACTTAAAATAAATAATATTATTGGTGTTGATGAAACATTTCGTTATACAAATGTTTTTCCACCATTACCATCATCATTTCTAACAGATTTACATAAAATACGTTCAATTGAACATGATACACATGCATTAATACCACGTTCAACATCACGTTATGCACCACCATACAGTCAATCATTATTAATTTTATGTCAATTAGAAATGACAAATTCAAATGATCTTGATTTTGAAAATCTTGAACGTATAAAACATTCAAAAATTCTCTATTATATTCAATTAGCAAAATTATTACAAGAAAAATTTCATTTAACTTGTCGAGCAACGAATGATTGTTGTTATATTGAAAAAAATCATTATATTTATCGTTTAGTAATATCATATCATAAGGAAATTTATTTAATGGAAAGTGAAGCTGGAAAAAAAGATGGATTACAACGAACAATTAAACAAACAAATTTATCAAAACAATTAAGATATAATACAGAATATCTACCAAAACTACATGCTGCTATATACGGGTAAATATCAGTGTTTTATCCATATTTTCATTTTTTAGGTGCGCGAAACAAAATGCTAGATGGGCGCCGCCCACCCACTTTATAAAATCAGGGTGTGGGTGACGGTTTGAAAACAAAGTGAACCCTTTCAACCAGTGGCGGATCTAGGATTTTGGAAGAGGGGGCGATTTTTTTTTTTGAGTATGAAGGGGTGATGCCTGGGGGCCCGATTTTGGTTAAAAGCTATTTTTTGAGCCCAACCGAAGTAGTGTGAACCTGTTTTTCGTTCATTTTTGCTGTAAAAAATCAATTCGGAAGGGGGACGGCGATCATCCCCATCGCTCCCCTAAATCCACCACTGCTTTCAACCTCACCCACATCGCTGGGATACCCTAAATAAAATCCATTTCTTAATGACATTTGGGCAGATATCTGTAGATTTTGATTTTGTTAAAAATAATCTTAATATTTTAGTGTTAGTCAACAATTTGTTCACTATCAATTAGTGTCGCGTTTATTTAAACGTTGGCTTTCATCACAATTACTTCTTCATCAATTTGATTCGATCAATGCAGATATACTTTGTTGTTATATTTTTCTTCATTCAGCTCCATATGAACCACCAAAGTACTTATTTCTTTTTTGATATTCAAGAAAAATATATGTATATTTAGATCAATATTATCTGGTTTTTGTCGTGTACTTTGTCTTCTTCGTGATTATGATTGGATTAATGAACCATTAATTATTAATTTTAATCATGAATTAACAAGTAATAGAATAATAATAGTAAAATACAGATGATATTGAATTATTTTATTGTTTGCTTATTTAGAAGAACAAATTTTTGAAATGCAAACACAATTTAAAACTGACCGATCGAATTTACCAGCTTTATGTTTAATGCCCTCAGTAGCATTTCATGAGAATAATAAACCAAATATACCAATATTAAAACGTGTGATACAATTAGCTAAAGAAGCATTGGTATTTTTAGAAACAAATAATAGTGATTCGATTAAAGTAAGTTTTTTATATCTATCTAAAGAATATCTCTGCTTGAATTAAGCATAATTCAATACAAAAACTACCCACATACACCGCCAAATATCTCTTTAGATTCACTAATAATGTTATTCTATTATATTTAGTTTCTTTTTCGACCAAGTACCAATTCTTATGATGTGATCATTATGCTTGATCCACTTCAATGTCCACGTGCTTATCAAGCTGTTGATCATGTATCTACAGAAGTAACATATACAACAAGAAAGAAGTCAACTGATAATGATGATCATCAATCAAAGAGTAACAATAAATTATTATCCATTGTTGACTATGATCCAGCTCAATTATTTGTTAATGAATTACGAGTAAAATATATATTTCTATGTTTTTCTATGTTTCATTTTGTTTATTTCATATTTAGACATCCTATAATGATCAAGCAGAATTCTTTCATGATGAATTCGGTGGTGTTATGGTTTGTATACTATGGAAACCGTCGAAAAATACAACAAATGGTCATAATAATAATGTCGATTATGTTAAAATAATTGATCAATGGAAATTATTAGGAACAGGAATTATAAAAGAAATTCGTACATTTCCTGAACGATGGTGTTAAATCATTTATTGTTTTGTTACTAGCTAAAAACAGCTAGATGAAATAAAAATTAGAATATTAATCATTCTGTTTAATTCCATAACTCTCACATCATAAATAATTGACATAATTACGATTTCTCAAAAGTTGTTATTTTATGAATATCTCGATTTCGGAATGAATTTACGATTTTCATATAAGTTTCTATCGATATATTAAAATTTAGCTGATTATTATAAGATGCAATAGCAATCGATTCATACAGCCTTCATCTATTTTGAAAGTAGCTTTTTTCTTTCATGCACTTTTTAATATAATTATAAAAACAATAGAATAATATTATTTTCAAAACTATTCATTTTGCTTTACCTTTTGTTTGTTTAATCAAACTGTATTTTACCATGAAAAAAAGTACAATTATTCTAAATGAAATTTATATTTGATAAAACCAAATGTTATTTTAACAAAAGCACCTAGTATTTTTCGTCTATGTTAAGTTAAGAAAATATAAAAGCGGCTGTGCAACAACGAGCTATTCAGTAGATTAATCATTTATTACATACAGAAAATATATTTTCAAGACTTCTAAAAACACAAATTATCTCAAGCCGACGGCATATATTTGATTATATTTCAACATATCGATACATTCACCTTAATCCTTGAAAATAAGTTTTCGCCTCCCTCTGTGATTCTATACTTATTTCTTTCCCTTGCAATGAGATGGTATCTATATTTTCTTCTCCTCATAGAAAAAAAAACCCCAAAAAAGAAATACTAAATAAACGCTTCTATTAATGGCGTATTAGGCACGAAAAGGATTAAAACTAATACCTGTTATTTTGAGTATCAAAAATAAACGATGTTTTTTTTGAAGGTCACTATAGAATAACATTTTCTTACCTCTGAAATAATTTAATGTATCAATGACTTTAACTAATAGTCGATGCAAACTATTTATCACTGTACTACAAGATTGCTATTTCAAGAACAATGCTAGGAATTTAGACATTAACATTTCCAGAACAAAAAGAATCTTTATCTGACACAATCATATCACGATTTTGAAAATAATTAGACTATATATAAATTTTTTGAATAAACATTGTTTCTAAAAGATTACATTTTAGAACATGAGTTAATATATTCCCGTTTCGTGCTTAAATCACGTGTAAAAATACACATACACGTGTAAAATAGTAACAGATTAGAAGGAAAAAAAACAAAATAAACATAGACAAAACAAAATGTTAACAAAAACAACACAGCAACCGGAGAATAAACGAGAGAATGATCAACGCACGAATATTCTATATAATGAATAAAAATGATTGCAATAACTAATGGACTTTTATATGTTCTGTTCTTAAATGATAAATAGTCAAATTCAAACAAACAAAAAAATGTTACACTAAAAGAAAATAAGTTAATAAGCTAGAAATCTCAATAAAATTATGATCTATATTTTTCTTTTCTTTGGTTTTTGATTCCGTTTAAAGTTTGTTATCAATAACTATTGAAAAGAGAGGGAGAAAAAAAAAACATTTTCATAGATAAACAAAAGACACGAAAAAAAAAGAATGAGTATATATGTAAAAATTCTCGTTTAACATTCTGTGTACTTAAATTAAGATCAATTTATAAATCTTCATGAGCTCCTTGTTCTTCTTCATCGGCTTCTTCTGTTTGTTCGCTCATCTAAAATATAACATTAGTTTTATTTCGAAATGTTTTTCCTATGATATACATACCTCATCAGGGATTTTGCCAGCTTCTTTTCCATTTGAATCAATAAATTTGGTGAGACCTTCAAGAGTACGTTCACCATGATAATCAATAACTTCATCGGAATCTTTTGGAAATAATCTAAAGACAAAAAATAGGTAAATCAATTAGCAAGTACACATATGGGAAACTTAGGATTGCATTTATCTTATTATAAAGTATTAATATATCAAGAATCAATTTCAATTTTAATATTCTCTAATCTCGTCTTTATGTCAATATTTTAATACATACTTTATTGTTGGGAAACTTTGAATTTTAATATCTTCAAGTTCATTAGCAGTAGCATCCATTTTAGCAATAACAATATCAGCATTATCTTTATATTTTTCACCTAATTGTTCATAAATAGGTGTTAATTGTTTGCAATGACCGCACCTGAAGAAGAAAAGAAATAGTTTTTTTTCTGTTTTTGAATATGAAATAGTCTTACCAAGGTGCAATAAATGTAACAAGTACGGTTTTCTTTTTATTAGTAGCAACTTCATGAAAATTTTTACCAACTAAAGTTTTAACTGGTGTTTTATCCCAATCTTCAGGAATTTCTTGTGTAAGTAAATGTGGTTTAAGTTTACCATTAAAGAAAGCATCAACAAAACTTGATAAAACTCCTGATGTAATATCGGATGATTCAGGTTTAAATTTGCTCATTTCATCTTTTAATGTAATTAAACGAACAGCTGGAACATCGGCTATTTTAAGACCAAAGAATTCAAGTACACGTTCATTTTCTTCATCATCTGAATCAATTGAAACGAAAAGTGTTCGTCCACGATATTGTTTTGCAGCAGTTTGAAATTCTTGTCGAAGTTTTTCATAATCATCACTCTTTTTGCTACCAAATAAAAGTACATGAACTTTAATATCACCACCAAAGATTTTTTGTGCTGTTTCAGCACTAAAATCGACAACAATTGGAAGTTGATTTGCTTGAATAAATTCTCGAATGGAATTTTCATCAATTTTCGATGTCAGATCATTACGACCTTCGTCAAACTAAAATATATAAAAATTAAGTTATATATATATTAAAACAAAAGGAAAATATTACTTTTTTAAAGAGAACAATAGCATCTGATTTGACATCAAGTTCTTTAAGAACATCTTGATTTGATGTGATACCAAATGGAATACCATCAAGTGTTTTAGCTACTTGAAGAAATGATGCAGCAGCATCACCATCTGTATCTTTAAAAGCACCGATGACAACAACATCATTGGCTTCTTTCAACTTGTTAAGATCATCAACAGTTTTTAATTCATCAGCTGCTGGTCCAGTTTTCTTTTTTAACCAACTTACAATATCATCTTGTGAACGTCCACCGTTATATTCAAATGTTGTACCATCACTAAAGAATTTTATTGTTGGATAACCTTTAACATCATATTTTTGTGCAAGATCTTGATCAACTGTTGCATCAACAGTAGCTAATTTAATATCACTACCAGAATCAGCTAATTGTTTAGCAGCAGCAGCATAAGCCGGTGTTAATGCTTTACAATGACCACACCATGGTGCAACAAATTTTACGAGTATATGTTTATTATTTTTAAGAGCATCATCGAATGTATCTTTTGTAAGTGAAAGAACATTACTTCCTTCAGCATCTGCTGATGCATCATCACAACGAATACGTTTTGTTGTTTGTGCAAGAATAACTATAACAGCTACAATTGCTGCTTGTGTAAAACCTGGAAACATTCTTTCGTTTTTCTTTTTTGTATTTGATAATCAAAATCGATACAATGATCTAAAAAAGAAAAGTTATTGAAAAATAAATATCTAACCTTGTCTTATATATAAAAACACTCAATAAGTGTATGTCTCGTTCTATGACTAGAGTAGAAGAAAAAAAATGATCGATTCCACCATCCAAAATCAACCACGACAATATGCGTATTTCTGTAAATTACCCATCGTCGACGTGTTCTCTTTATATCTAACGTATATGGATAGAAGAAAAAAATTGGTATGAGGAGAGGTTAACGAACGAAAGAAATAATAACGAACGATTCTATATTTAGATAGAGGCTCGAAAGTATTACAATACCAATATGGATGACAAATGTATCTTCGATATTTTTTCTCGTAGTATTTTTACATTTCATCTCATTATGTCAATTATTTAATAGATGTTTTTTACTTCAAAACTAATTTAATAAATAAAAAAAAAGTATATAAAGCATTCTGATTGGTTAATATTTTAATGACTCATAGTGATCATCAGCAGGCAAGCTGACTGACTTATTTTATGACATTTACTAAGAAAAACGCAATAATTCATTCTTACAATCTGTCCTCTGTTTGAACTATGAATATACGATTAGTAATCATTCTTTTTCTAAACTAAATAGTTTTCAATTCGTAAGAAAAGAAAAACCTTCTCTTTCGTCTTTTATTATCAAATCATTTCATGTAGAAAAAAAGGTAGATAATTATAAATTTAGCAAGGCAAATGTAACAATCTGTTATATAAATTCTTTCCATTTATTTGAAGAAGTTTATTACATAATAAATAATAGTCAGCATTGTAATTGAAAATATATGAGGGGGGTAAATATTATTTTTTTTTTCAATTTAATAATTTAGTTGCACTAAAGTCTCCTTTTGTTTTTTTTCCTATTGTGGATATTTACTAACTGCGTTGTTCTCACCCTTTTCTTCTCGTTATTTTTAACCCCTTTTACTTCGTCTTTTTTTTCTTCTTATGTATTTGAACCTAGATATCGTTCGGCGCATAAACATTGCGAATAAAGTAATTTTTCCTTTCTCTCTCTCTCTCTCCTTTTCTGTCTTTCTTCTTTAAAAGGAGAAAGAAAAATAAAAAGGAGAAACTTTGTCATTTATAAATATGACTCATTCTTTCCTTTTTTTTTCCTTGTTAAAATCAGTTTACAATGAGAGTGTATGTAATCATTTACTCTATGAAGGTGCTGTGCAGTCAAGACGAAAATATCATAGCGAGGAATGTACTTTTCTTCTTTTCTCTGTCTTTCTCTTTCTCTCATTATCAATGTGAGTAAACAGACAGACGCACATAGAGCTTCACATACATACTCAAACACATTCATCGATAAGTAAAGCGAGAAATGAAATCAATGTTTGATTCTTTTAGATAGCTCATATCAAAATATGGTTTCAAAAATTATTTCAGCGCTTCTTCTGATCGGTAAGATTCTATTAGACATATATGTACCAAAATTACATAAAATTTATTTTAGCATGTCTATTTTTTATTTCATCAACTAATGTAAGATAAAACAAAACTCGAAAGAAAAATACAAACAATTTCGTTACTTTTGTCCTTTTAGGCAATCAATCTTCCAGGTAATTACACATTGCCCAAAGACTCATCTGACAACTTATGTTTCATTGCTCGATTTGATCTTGTACTTAATGTTGAATATGTAAAATCTGATGGGGTAAAAAAAAATTGAAAATTTCAATCATTATCTATTTTTTATTTCTTAGAAAAAAAATATTTCCATTATTCCATTAAATAATGAAACATTTCAGTTTTATGATGGAACATATGCACTTACTAAAACTCATACCCTTACAATAACAATGTTAGATAATTTAACAACTATTACATTAGAATTTTTTCTTAATGAAAAAAATCAAACATCATTAACACGAGTTTATGGATCTGTTACAGTTGATAGTAATACAAAATATTTTCCAAATTCTAGTATTCATGCTCGTGGTCCACGTCCATTTGTAGCAAATGAATCGTTATTTAATGCTGATCGTGCACATTCTTATCGTTGTAATACACGAACAAAAATTGATAATTTGAAAACAGATGGAAATGGAAATGTTACAATTAAATCAATTGATATAGAAAATTTACGTATACAACCATTTGTTGATAATATGAGTACATTTCATGATTATGGTGTTGGTATGTTAGATAAAAACAAAAAAAAAGATAAATGTTAATCTTCTTATTTCGTTTTTTTTTCTTTTCTTTTCTATAGAAGAAGTATGTACAATGGATCGATTTACAAGTTCAAATTTAATTCCAATTATTGTCGGTGTTTGTCTTGCCGTATTAGTTATTGTTGTACTTGTTGCATATCTTATTGGTCGTCGACGAAATCGTAATGGATATCAAAGTGTTTAAATATGTAGCAATAAGGAATATGTGACATTTTCTTTTTTATTATTATTATTATTATTATTTTTTCTCTTTCTCATCGCGTTTAGAAATCTGAAGATTATTAAGCCATTTATTTCTCTGTTTTCTTTTTATGTACAAATTAACTAACCTTTTTCTTTTTAAATCAAGATCTGTATATGTCTGAACGATGATTAGAACTCATGATGAAGATGATGATGATTATTATGTACTTTTTTTTTCCTTTGTTGAAGAATAAACAGGCTGTTCTTTTTTTTCTTCTTTTTTAATTCTTTGAAGAAATATTTTCAAAGCACAATGAATCATAACAATTTTTTAATTGAAAAGATAAATAGACACATGTGTTCTAATGATTACATCAGCTATTGGAGATTGTTCAAAAAGAATATTCGATATTGATAATTGTACAAGTATATATATGAATCATTTTATCGACAAATATGATCGAGCATTAGTTAAAAGATAATTTATGTAACAAATCAATATGAATACATAAGAAATATTCGTATGTTTTCAGTTCTAGAAGATAGTTTAATTGTATCATTATAGAGCGGCTTTTATCGTATCCTGTGGTATAAAGGTATAGAAATACCAGAAAGAAATAATTTACATATGTTGAATTCACTTTATTATCATTTTAACAGTTGTCACAAAATTCAATAGAAAAATCGATTAGTGTAAAAGGAACTATTTACGTATCTATCTTTCTTAAATAGTATGAATTCAGTAGTTTTATTTTGTTCTGCAATTTAATGTTCATGTCTAGGATATAATCAAAAGAACATATGTCATCTGTAGTTTGTGCTGCTACATTGGTCATCTATAGGAAGGCGTATGATGCCCTGTCGATCACATCTGTAACGAAGTCAAAAAAAACGCATGTATCGGTCACGTTTGAGACGAGGCTAAAAGAACATGTGCGGGTCACGTTTGTGACGAGGTTAAACGAACATTTGTCGGTCATGTTTGCGATGTTCTGTCGGTTACGTCTAAGAGGGGTAGCGAGTCGAAATTTCTACCCCTTAACACTTCAACACTGCTTTCAGATCGTGTTTCACAAGTGTTAATAAAAGCATCATCGTCTTTAACTTCTCGCCTAGTATACATGTAGTAATAATAAGAATATGAGTAGAGTCAGCGAAAATTATAAATATATAAAAAATGATTTGTATTAAGTAAGACTGTTTTCGCTTAGCTATTTAATTTTAATTTCACTCTCATCATCATTCGTATTTGCATTATTGCTTTTTGCTAAGTGCTATAACTTACAATTGTACTCACAATTAGACATTCCGTTTTGACTCTAATGTATATGAGAAGACGAGTGGCGATGATATGATCTCCCGAAAGATAATGATCATAACAATCTTCTCTGTTTATTTAACTATCAATGATAAAAAAATTATAGATCTTTGTTTATTTAACCTTGGAGAAGTTCATATGCTAAATATTTAGTCTTTACTGATTCTCCATCTTTAAAATATAAACATTCAATTTTTCACCAGAAATCTACTAATTATTACATATTTCGAGAATAGTTTGTTCAAAACTAGACGTAAACAAGTCAAATTAATTTCATAAATTAGGTTTAAAATGATATACATAATAACTATAAATAACGTATAAATTCTCCTCGACACGATCATCGCTCAGCCAAAATAGTGAGATTCTTTTCTCTTTATCTCGGTAAAATAGTTTTTGAAGGCTCCCGTTTATCGAATACTCATTTAATTTCAGAAGATGTACGCTTATTTTGAAAACAACTATTTCATCGTTATCTTTGTTTTAAACAAAACATTTAATATGTATTCGAAATTAAGAAACCCGTTAAGTTAGTCGACATCCTTTATTAATGATTTCTTTTATCAGAAAAAAAGAGAGAAATAATGTCTATTTATCAAAGAAAAAGAATGTAAATTGAAATTGGAAGCAGTAAAAGTATTTGCCATACGTTAATGAATGCAAATTTAAACTAATATAGTAAATAAAAATCAAGTATTTTGTAGTTATAAAGAAATATGATCCTACAATGGTGAAATATATATGAAAGTTTAAGAAATAATCAATAAGAATTTTATAGAATGAAATCAAAATTTGTTTTGAAATAAAAGATAAAATACTTGACATTCCATTCTATGAAATCAATAAATGAAGAGGAGAAAACGAACAAATGTTGTCTAGTTGATAGAAGAATATTTTATATCAAACTACTTGAAACAAATCATTGAAGTGTATTGATACTATCGATATGTTGTTTACATACAATCAAAATGAATTTTTCTATTTTTTTTTATAACAAAAAATGAATCATATGACCGTTCTAGACGAATGACAAATAAAATTTTTGTTCATTAGTTTTAATTCAGTTATTAAACTATCGATAAATATTGATTTTCTAAATATTTTGCACGTACTTGAAATATTCTCCATTTTATATTGTCTTCTAAATTTTTAAAATCATTCGATTGAATAATACTTGATATATTACAATATGATATTTTATTTAAAATCGCTTCACAACATATTGTATCGTTTATATATAAAAATTCTCGAAACCAAATACATAAAATATCAATAATCGACGAAATTGATAAACATGTTCCATCTTCTTGTTTAATTAATTTATTATTTCTATTCTTATACATATTTATAATTTCAATTTTAGATAAATAAAATAATATAAATGTTCGACATGCGGATGAAAGAAAATCTATTTCAAATCGATATGCTAGAAAAATTAAAAAATATATTTTTTGTTTTATATTAAATCTAGTTTTTACCAAGAATAAGTAATATTGTTACATTTTGATTATTAATGGTACAATGAAATTGTGGATATAAAAATCGAAGTAATTCAATCATTTCATTAGGTGATACATCAATAATTTCAATTGAATTAATAGTTTCATCTTGAATATATTTATGAAAAACTTTTGATCCAATAGCTAACACACTTCTATCAACATATAATTGTTTATCTATAAGGCAGCTTTTATTTTTATATTGAATACATAATTGGGTCGAAAAATTATTCATCCACCTATATCTTCAATATATTTACTGTGCTACTAAATAGATCTAATTACTAGCCATGTATCGAACCCGAACGTTCGGTTTCGGGTGCATGCCTACTAATTATTGATTTCGGTAGCTCACAAGATTCTGGTTTTACAGTAATGTCATTGTGAAGAAAGTAAAATGAAAGGTCGGCGCACCTCCTACTATGTACCGTTAAAGCGGTATGAATATTACAAAAACAGAAAATTCAGTATTTCGCGTAGTTTTTTGTAATGCTCATAACTATTCACCGGAAGAGGATTGGAAATGCGACGGTCCTTTATTTGCTCTCTTCATGATGACAGTACTGTAAAATCCGCTTAAAGTTTAGTAGTGCAGAAAACAAATGTGGATGAATAATTTCTTGATCCATTGTATGTATTCGAAATACCTTGAACAAGAAGTATTAAATCACTAAACGGATGCGGTTGAAAGAAAAATTCTTCTGCTGTATTAATAGATTTCATTGAAATTGATTGTTGTTGATCACCACTAGATAAAATTTGTGAAGAAATCATTGATAGACAAACAAAAGAATGAATAAAGCGCCACTAATATTTATAATTTTTTTTTCTAATAAAAATGTATATGAATCAAAAATTATTTAATTCATGGTTTCATGTTGTTGGCAATTCAAATTATGAAGAATATTATTCAAAATACTAATACAAATGCAACAATAGATCGAGTAGAATGTGAGAGAAATAAATGTGAAAATGAATTAAGAAGAGTACGATATAGACTTGAGGAGTTATTATTGAGACATACAAATGAAATAAAGAAAATAAATTGGATAGATCGATGGTGGCCATGTTGTCGACGATCGAATAAAACTAGATATTCAAATATTTTACGAACGACTCGAGATAAATACAACTATTTATTTCAATCACCACTTATTAGGTTTAATATTGATTATAATGAAGAATATTCGTAAGTCATTACTTTGTAGACATTCATCCGTATCAACACCTTATAACAATCGAACAGAGCATGATCTTCGCTTAACTAAAAATACTCTCGATCCAATTTATATATCATTATTCTTTAAAAATCTTGAAACAAAAATCTTGACTTGTCTTTCTAATAATCAAAAGTAATCTTGTTATTTTTATTTAATGTCAAAATATTGCCAAGTTTTATTTTCAAGAATTGATAACAATCAGTCAGATTCTGCTAGTATCATATCATCAACAGAAAATTATGAATCATCACCTATTTCCTTTATACCAACAGAGAGTGCATCTTTTTTGCCTATATCACCATTGTCAAAGACAGAATCGATAGCATCATTAGAATCAAGTTCAAAATCTGCATTTCCTATTGGTAGATTGACATCTCAGATTGATCATACTGAACCTAGACATATTCCAAAGCAAGGTAAAGAAAAAGGTCGTTCTTTATTTAACCTTGATCCATGTTTTTATATCGTAGACATGCTAAACATAAATGAATACAAAAAATCTCAACTGTAGGTTATTTAATATTATTATATCATGATTATCAACATTTGTTTATATGTCTTTGTAGAACAGTTCCTGTAGCTAAAATCTCCAAATCAAGTAGACTTTCATGAGGTGAAATAATCGATTACTATGTTTATTTTTAGAAAAGTCAAAGAAAAAGAAAATTTTGGTTAATCGTAGAAAGAAATAAGTACTTACAAAACACGAACATATTTTGTTTCATAACAAGTAAAAAGTAATTTATTTTACATTTTCTTTTACTCTATTATATATCCTGCTGTGTATACATAGGTGAACGAAATAAATTGGAATATATTCATATTTTTCTTTTCATTGATTAGCCATCAAACAAATATATGGAAGATACGAACAGGTAAATCATTCGTGCTCAATAGAAATAGATATATATAGTGTATTTTGTTTGTATCGTGTACAGTTCGCACTTAGCTAGTATCTCTATTATAATGAGTAGATCCGACAGTCGAATTTTTCTTATACATCGTTTCATCACTCGCTTTATATTACACAATAAGTATTATCGAAAAATAGATATTCTATCTCTCTATATGAATATATTAAGACCAGCACTTATCCATTTTGCCATCATTTGATCACCGAGTCTAAAGTAGTCACTTCTCACAAATACCAATGTTGAACTAGATGAAAAACATTCATAATTAGCGGAATTATGTCCATATCCTGTTAGTACGAAAGTATACTTATGTGAAAGTTCTATTGAGTTAGTGATTAAACACGTATTCAACGTCGTTAGGAAAATGAAAAGTAAGAGATTGTTTCAAGAAACTTAGTACATCTTTAAGTTGTTAATCAAATTCAATGATCAAAAAAAGTGAGCTCGAAATTTGGAGTTTACGGATGTCTAGTTTTCAACGAAAACCTCAGTTCAGAACTTGAACTGTCCGTTTCTGATTGCTCATGTAAATACTCTTGATTACTCTGAATCGACTAATGTTATTCAAGAAAAAAAACGTGGAGTTAAACTTTGGACTTTGTTGAAATACCACAAAGTCGTAAACTCCAAATTTCGAGCTCACTTTTTTTGACTGAATTCAATAGTCAAAAATATTGTCACCCATTCACTTTAATCCTTCAACAATTGTGGTAAAGCATTTCGATAGTGACTATCAGCTGAATTATTTCTTAAGAAATCATTGTACGAATATGATTTACTATTGAATATTTTGAATAAAAGATTTTTTTCAATTCTAAACAAAATTTCATTTTATTTAAAGAATCAAACTTGTGCCACATTCTCCTTCCCGTTCAAAAACACGATCACGTGAAGGTGTGATTTTTGCTTTTGGTTTATTTTTTGCAATATTTTTTCTGGGTTTTATCATTGGTCTTACGTTTGGTATATTCCTACGTCGTTGAAAGATAAAATGTAATATCATTTCATGTTTATTCAATTCAAGTTATTTTTGTTTTTGTCTTTTCTATTATTTAATTAATATTAAAAATTCATTACATTTATAGATAATTGATTGTTACTTAATCATATATCTGTATGGATAAAATAAAGAAAAAATGTATTATACTCGACTGATATAGTTTCATAAATAACTAATGATCTAGATAAAAATTCTCGTAATTGATTAGACGTTCTTTCTTTCTAATGTCTATTAATTGATATTTAGAAATAAAATTATGACATAAATAATTAAAAATCTAAAATGATTGTAATTAATGAAAAACATGTTTAAGCAAACTATATGAAATAGTTGATTGAGGGAGAAAATATTTGATCTAAAGAATTCATGGCATTTCCTATAAGTATTCTTAAGAGCTCTTCAATCAATGAATGTATGCTGTGCTCTCTTGATTAATACCCACCTTCTGTGAAAGTTCGATTAATTCATATTTATAGATCGTTAATCAAGACGTTACTTGATAAAGGATTATATATGCACGAACACTTTTTTTCTTATTACATTAAACTTCCTAATTGTAAGAAAGAAGAGAGAAAATTTTCATTTTCTTTTTCTAATCTTTGCAGGTCTGTTTGAGATCTTCATTTCAACAAGTGTCATTCTACATAAATTCATAATCAAGCTTTTTTTCCTCAACAAAGTATATAATTATTTCTACGGTTTTTAATGAGTTGTTTTCATTTCAAAGAACATAAATAACCTTGAATACGTTGATTTGCATGTTTATTTATATTATCTCAATCACTTACAACCTTGAATACACCGTTATGATGTCTACGCGCGTACATATATATATATATATATATATATATATTTATTCATGAACTCTTACAATCAGTAAAATGCACATTTATTTAACAGAGGAAGTATGCCTTCATTGTTTCCAACCTAAATCAAGTACACAGAGATTGAATGTCGTTTTCTAATCTAAAATTTTTGTCTTCACTTTCTCATTTTGCTATCGATTATAGAATCAAGAATTAATATAATACGATATACTCTACAAATAGTTTATCAACAACATATTTGTTCACTTGCTTTCATATGTAATTGTCGTTCCTTTTTTTCTCTTGTTCGCCGCAGAAAAAAAATGCAAAACGAATGAATTGATAAGTATTTCTCTTAGATTCATCGATTAACAATCAAGAACGTCATCTTATGATGGTTCCTGAAAAATAGTATGAATCAAGATGACAATACATACTCATCGTGTTCAATTGGCTTCGATTAATGCATTTATAGTGGATGTAAAGGAAAGCAACGATAATCAAATAATGATTGATTTTTTCCATAAATTTTATCCCACGTCCTTTCTTCTCTATCCAACTGTTTTTTTTTCTCTTTTTTTATAGATTGAACCATATAAACAACATATATTACATCTATTGTTAACTATTTAAAATGTTCAATTCTTTTTGTCCAGGATATTATTCAATCCTGTAATATTAAAGGAAACTTCATTGTATATAAAACGTTAGTTTTCATCTTTTCTCATTCATTATTGTGTTAATCATCGTTCGACCGAAATATTTTTGGTATTGTAATTAATTTTATCATGTATAAAGGTTTATCTATCTTTTTTTTACGCTACTATAACCATATGTATACTAAGATTTCTTTATTAGAAAAAAAAGAACAATGATAGGGATGTATACATATCTTCAAAAAAATCATACAGATCTATAGATAAAAGAAACGAGGTAATATAGATTAATTCATACAATCATTAGGAATAGCATTAATTTGACAGAGGTACCGGAAGAAGTCGTTGTTAGAAATTTTTTTACTACTAATCATGAACACGATGCAATTTCAGAAGGAAGGGTGGGAGGGAGAAGGAGAGGGAGAGAGCGAGAAAGAAAAAGAATAGGGAATTGCTCGTTTCTTTTCTATTTATTACGCTTCTCTATTCTGATTGTCCTTTGAATGTATTATATTTATTCTAGGAAAATAAATCTGAATCGATAATATTTATATATTAATTTTAATCAATTATCATGTTTCACTGGTGGATTTTAGAAGCATTAGAACAGTAAGTTTATTTTTTCTCATTAAAAATTCATATGGATTTATTTATTTCGCTTATCTTATTTCTTTTCTATGTCATAAACTTAATTGATTGATGATCGAAATTATTGAGAAAGTCTGTCGATAGACTTATGTAATGTTAGTTTTCCTAGATAAAAAAAGTGAAATATAGTATAATCTAACGATTATTACTTTTGAATATATATATCTAATAATGAAATAATCATTAGAATTATGTTATATAAGAAGTAAATCATATGGTAGACAACTAGAATACAATTCTCAATAGGATAGACTAATACATGTTGTCCAAGTTGTGATTTAATCGGAAGTATTTAGATAATAAAAATTTTAATCTAGATAAGATTTATTTAGAATTACTTCAAATAGAGTTGAGAACAAGTTAAATTACATGCCCTTGACGAGTCATATCAATGAGAGACAAACATATTTTTTGATTCTCAATACAAGAAAAATATTTGAATGAGTTCTTAAATCTTTGTAATTATTGAATTATAAATGAATTTGATACAACTGATAATAACGATTTTGATTATAAACTTAAATCTGATATCTATTTTTTCATGCAAATATAGTCTCTCTCTCTCTTTTGCCACATTAATTCCGCTTAAGTAGACATTTTTTTTGCTTAATTGGCAGAGAAAGTGTTCATATTGCGGATAAAGTCAATTAATTATTACCATTTGTTAAAACAGGATTTTCCTCTATGTCAATCAGAACAGTTTAAATAACATGCAATAGTAAAACGTCAAATTCTATTCGATCATCTTGATAATTTTTAAACTAATTAGATTTGCTTTTTTTTCTATGTTAGAAATATTGAAGTGTAAACTACAATATCTTGTCATAATAGATCTGAAATAGACAAACAAATCTAAATAAAAAAAACTTCTATTTTTAATATTGAACAATAAGATATCCGATTTTCTATTAAGTTCCTTCTTTTTTTTGTATCAAAAAGGAAATGAAAACATCTGCTCAATCACCGTTTTTATAATATAAAGAGTGCTCTTAAGTAATAATTGAGTTATACTTTGGCTATTACGCTTGATTAACTTGTGTTTCAAATCACCAAATTCTCATGTTTTTCTAATGATCTATTCAAAGTTAAAGTATTTATCTTAGAATATAGTCGTTGTTTAGCGAAGAAAGCTAAATAACTTGATTGTAAGATAAACAAAAAATATACATTTGTATATCTCGCGGCAATAAGAATTGAAATTAAAGATAATTGATGTGACTGTATAGATTCAAAACAGAAATTTACTACAAATTATTTAATTTTGATTTATATACAGTTTGAGTATAATGAAATACCATACTTTCTATCTTAATTTCGGTCTATTAAAAAACAGAGTATCCTTTTTTTTCATGGGTGAAATATGGCTGTTGAAAGTTACGTTCATCTGGAAACAAAAGTGCAGCTCTATGTAAATTGTAGAGCTTTTAACACTGCATCTTTTGGTATAATTCAGTGCTTAGTAGAGCATAGTGGTGAAGAAATACGATGTCAAACCCGTTGCATTTTGACAGATTTTTGTCTGTATTTAATATTCATTTTTTTCCGAATATATTTAAAACAACAGGCAAACATAAAAAAGTATTCTCAAAATAACAAGAAGGCCGTTCTCTCTGGAACATCCGTTAATTAGAAAATTTATAATATAAATATTGGTTATTCTAACAATGATAGGATTATCATCTTGACATTTCTGTATTATTTATTATAGCATGGCCGTGTTTCTTGTTGATGCTGCTGCTAAAGTTGGTCAACATGGACATGATGGCGCATGTGACGATGATTTTTATGATCGTCTATCTCGTCGTTATTCAGTTATTCTTCTTGTTATATTTACAATTCTTGTATCATCAAAACAATATGTTGGTGAACCTATAGCATGTTTTTGTCCAGCACATTTTACTGGTACACATGTAGAATATACAAATAATATCTGTTGGATATCTAATACATATTTTGTTTCATTTGATCGTCTTTTACCAAAATATCCTGATCCAAAAACTGAACATTTCATTTATTTTTATCAATATGTACCATTTATTCTTATGATTCAAGCAATACTATTCTATGTACCATCAATTATATGGTCAACATTAAATTCTAAAAGTGGTTATGATTTAGGAATGTTAGTAACACAAGCTCGTATGATAGATACATATACAGCAGATATACGTGCAGTATCTGTTCGACATTTAGCACGCTATATTGATCGAACACTTGAATATCATAAACAAAAACGTTTGGAGTATATGGATCAATTACAATCAATAAAATGTTCATCATTCTTTACATTCTGTATGTATAATAATCATATAACAATGCGTGATAATCATTTAATGTGGTCATTTTTATTTACAAAAATTCTCTATCTTATCAATGCGTTTGGACAATTATATTTACTTAATTTTTTTCTTGGAAATAATTATCATATGTATGGTTTTGCTGTAATACATGCTTTATTTACAGGAAATAATGAAAATTGGACTATAACACCACGATTTCCAAGAGTAACATGGTATGTAAATAGAAAAATCGAACTATATTTATAAAAAAATAGAATTTTCTTTTGTTTATTTAGGTGTAATTTTGCTGTACGTAATATGGCAGATAATATTCATACATATACTGTTCAATGTAGTTTACCAATAAATCTTTTTAATGAAAAAATCTTTTTACTTATTTGGTTTTGGCTTTATTTTACAACATTATTTACATTATTTGGTTTTATCTATTGGGTAGTATCATTTTTTTATCCACAGTTTTATCGAACAAATATTTTACATTATCTATCATCAATGAAACGTATAAATATTCATCATTTTCCACAAAATCCATTTGAAGAACAAATGCATCATCAACATCATCATCGACATCATTCACATCATCATCATTTTCGTCATCATCATCATAATCAAAGTCATCATCGTGCTTATTCATTTGCTGCACATCATATGCAAAATGCTCATATGCAAAATGCTCATCATCAAAATCTTTTATCACCATTTGCTGGTCGATCAATGAAAGCTAGTTTTGACTCAAATCGTTCATTACGTTCACGTGAACAAATAAGTATTCCCATTCCAGTAGAAAGAGACACTATTGAAAGTCCTACTCCATCAACAGCTGATGAACATTCATCTACAGCTTCAACTCCTCAACGATTACCAACTAATGAACCAGATATAGCTCCTGTATCGGCTGATGATAATCAATTAATTACAAATTTTTTAGTAGATTATCTTGGTCGTGATGGAGCATTAGTTTTATATATACTTAAAATTAATTCAAATGATGTTATAACAGGTGAAATTGTTACAGCTCTATTTGAAATATTTAAAACAACCTATCACATTGATAGAACAGAATAAAAAAACGAGCTTGTTATTTATGTTTCTATATTTACTTTTCTTAATATTTCGATTAAAATTAAATAATGTGTGATATAAAATTTGTTTATTTCGATAAGTTTAGAACGTATTAGATCGTCTTGATCTCGGTCAGTATTAGTTTTAATATGAGTTTTTATCAATAAGCATAAATGGCAAAGACAAAAAGCTAGTTATTTTTATTTAGAATCATAATATGATGGGTAAACTGTTTTTAGAAAAGCGAGTTTGTGTGTATGTGAAGATAAATATTACATTCAGAAAAAGCAAACAATGTCAGGTGAAATGTAACAAAAAGCAATAACAATATGATTGATGCAATATTCATTTGATTAATAATTGATCATTGATTAAAATCTTGATCATTTGGATAATCAAATGCATAGGGTGCATTTTGCCAAGTACGATCAAATGTTTCTGTACGTTTCATTTCAGGTAATGGTGGACGTTGATTTTTACGAGAATTATTTGTGGGATTTTCTTGATTATCTACATGTGGATGAAATAAATCCCACATACTATGTTGACGTTCACCTTTAGTTGCTGATGCAAATTGGCTTCGATCTATTGGTTTTGTAAGAGGTTTTGGTTGATCCATAACCATGTCATCATATTGCTAAAAAAACAGATTATTAAAAAATATAATTATGTGACTTTTTCAACTCACTGGTTCACGACGTGGATAGTTCATTGGATTTCGATTATTATATGGTTGTTCATTCGAAAGTTTTTCAATAAAGTTTTGATTACCGAACTGTAAGCCATCTGATTTTAATTCAGTAACTGGTACTAAATTATAAATAAAAAAAAATTTAATGTTTATTTTATTAGTTTGATAATAAATTACCAATTCCTAATGTACGTATATGTTGAGGATTAGCTGAATAACGACCATTTTTCTGTTGATTTGATGTATCTTGTTCTGTTCCATAATGAAATATGTTTTGATATGAATTTTCTCTTGTTTTTATCCGATCATCTTGAGTTTTTCTGATTGGTGGACTTGCTTCCACTTTCGAATGTGACCAATCCCACCAACGTGATTCTTCTCTCTGATAACTACCAGGTCTTCCTACACCAGCTGTAGGAGCATTTGATTGAGCTATATTCGTTTGACTTATATTCATTCGACGTGCAGCATATGGATCATTGCGTGGCTCTGGCGCTTGTGCTGATGTAAAGTTCATATTTGGGTCTGTATAAAATGGCGCAGGACGAGGATATCCATTTCGCGTTTGGACATTATCTTGTTCAGAATCTTGTTCTCCGAATATTCGATAACTATTTGTACTAGATTTGAATTATATAATGAAATAGTTACATAATAATAAAAAAATAGACGATTTTTTTACTTGTATTTGTTTGGTACAAATTTCTTTCCTCGAATTTCAGGATTTGGAGCGGTTCTCATATCCATTTTGAAGAAAAGATTTATTTCTATAGTATAATGAAGAAATAAAACATATTCGTCGTTTTTTTCTGCTGGGAAATCGAGCATCGTATGTATTCAAGCAAAATTCAGCATACAAAAGGTATGTTGTAACACTACAATGACTGATCTTTTTCAAAATTTCGACGTATATCGAAGAAGTCAATTTGATTGAAGACATTTCTCTGATTCCTAAAATGAAACTATACGGAAATTCTTCAACTGAGAATAAATCAATTCTATTATACTAAAGTCTATGTCCTCTCTACATAGCATCAGATTTAGAAGGGAACGAAAATTCTTCTATAGCGCAATGATATCTAACAGACTGCTGGTTCTTCTGCAGTGTTTCTGATCTGATGACAAACTGAATCAACTTTTTTCTCATTTAAAAACCCTCGATATGTCACTCATACTACATATGTCTCCGGTAATTTAGATATTGATCTTATAATGAATGTCTTTGACTCTGAATAGAAAATTATACGAGAGACAATTTTCAAATAAAAGCGCATTGACTTCAATACTACACTCTAGAAACAATCTGTTGTCATTATTAAGTCATTATATTTTTGTTCAATATCGCTAACAACAGTTTGGTCGTCATTTCAAGCATTTTCTTCCATAGCAACCATACATCATCAAAGTGCATAAGTGCATTATACAGTTTTTGTTTATTGTATATTTTTATTGAAAAAAATCGTTTTATAATTTATCTCCCTTTAAAATATTGAATACAATTATATTTCTTCAATTTTATAAATTTATTTATTTATTATTTATAATTCTTCTCCGTCATTCTATCATCATCTGGGTTAAGCTAAGGTCGCGTGCCTATGTCAATGACTCATCAAAAATGAAGCAAAAAATTCTTTTTCCACCTACGTCTTCTTATTATTATATTTCCTTTTCTCTTCTTCTTCTTCGTCGTCTCATCATCAGTTAAACAACAAGTGCATAAATATAAATCAGACATTTGTATTCTCTTACAGATACGTCTACTAGTCTTTTGACAATGACAAGTCCAACTGATTTATCACAATTGTATATTTTATTATCTTACGAAAAGGTGTGTGTGTGTATATATGTCAAAAACAAAAAAAATAAATAAACATGAGATATTTTGTTTCTAGCTACAACGTTCTACAATAAGTCAACGTCAGCGACCTATCGAAGCTTCATTACGAAATCGTTTATTAGTATGGCGTTTTTTAAAAAAAATTGAAAATGAACCAGTATCACCTATAAATAATTCCGAACAGCACTTATTGACAAATACAGATCCTAATAATAGTTCATGGATACTTGATTTAGAAGAAAATTGTGTTGATAATGAAGATCAGATTGATATGGATATTGATTCTGATATTGTAACTGTTGTAAGTACTAATGAAACAAATAATTCAACATGTGACACAATGGATATTGAACAAGAAACCGATGTAACATTATTATTAAAACGTGCAATTGGTGCTGAACGAAGACAAAAAACTCCATCAACTGAAAATCCAATTTTAAATGAAAACAATAAGAATCTATCTGAAACAACCACCACAACAGCCACAACGCTTGAAGAAACAGAACAATTTTTTCATGATCTATGTGCTGAATTAACGAATACAACAGCAGCAATCGTTTCATCAACATCATCTACGAATTCATTGAGATGTTCATCACCACCTGAACAAGCACTTATTCACTAAGAGTTATTTGTAAAAACTTTAAGACAGTATATAAATTTGCCTATAGGTGCTGTGCTTCTTTTTCTTTGTGTCTTATATTATTATTTTTCTTTCTTTCTTTCTTTTTCGTTTATCGGAATGATAATGTTTTCTAGCAACACATCGCTCAAGCTCTCCTCGAATGAATCCTGTGTTTTAAAAAATTCCGATCCGGTCCTTCTTTCAAAAAAATTGATCTCTTGGATTGTTAAATGATGCGAATAAACGATATAATACTCGTGTTTATGTATAGTTATATCAGTTCAGTTGTTTATTGACTCTTATTATTATTATTATTATTACTTCAGATGTGTGTGTCCCCTGTCTTTTTGTTTAAAAACAAATGAAAGAAGATATGCGTTTTCTTTTCTGTCGTTAGTGTTTGTTTTTTTTAAATACTCTTTATGTTTACTGTTTTTTTTTCTTCTTCTCTTCTCTTCTCTTTTTTCATTACGCACGCGTTGCATCCTGTGCAAACACAACAGAATTGATCTATTTATTGTAAAACATGAACCTTCTTTTTTTTCAAAAAAAAGAAATCTCAAAGATTATGAATATTTAGTTTTGGTTTTTTTTATTTACAAATACTCATCAAATGGAAAAGAAAAGAAAAAAGAAAAGTAAAATTCTCTTTTCTCTCTTCTGTATTAATCATCAGGTGAAAATATTTCATAAGGAAAAGAGTCCCATTTAATTTGATATTATACAGTTAATTATATTTTCATTTCACACATATTACAACAAAAAATACTTGTTACATTTTAGAAAAAAAGAGCAATTATACATCTACTATGCAACGTACTGCTTCTGGAACATCGTTGGCCAGTAATTCCGGTAAATCATCAGCAACAACTGTAGATGATGGATCAGAATTTTTACCAATAATTGATGATGAAGAAATTCAACAAGTACAAGATGCATTCTCTGAAATGATCGATCATACATGTGAAGATGGTGCAGCTGCTGAGGGAAATATTTTCGAACATACATTTGTTCCACGTGATTGGTATGGATTTTTCTTTCGTTCTATTGTACCAAGTTCTGAATCTGTTAAAAAACATCTTGAACATGAATTACCTCGACAATTTTTTAAATATGATGGTCGTGAAGGTGTACAATATGCTTTTCAAGTTCTTGATCGTCGTACAAATGCTTTGACATATGAACAAATGCCATCCTATCATAAACTTGGTATGCGTTTATTATTTAGTGGTCCTGTTCAACGTGAAATATTACATACACATGCAATAAAAAAATTTTTTGCTAATGAAACAAAACGTATAGGTAAAGCATTTGATGAATCAAAATCTCGTAAACATATACCATCATTTGTTAAAATGTATCAAATTAATTTAAATGAATTACTTCAACCGAATATATCAGATTATGGAACATTTAATGAATTTTTTTATCGAAAATTAAAATCAGATGCAAGACCAATAGCTAATAAGAATGATCCAAATACAATTGTTTCAGCTGCTGATTGTCGTTTAATTGTATTTAATAATATAGATGATGCAACACGTATTTGGATAAAAGGTCATCATTTTTCTCTTCATCATTTATTTGATGATGAAAAAATGGCCGATGAATTTCTTGGTGGGTCAATCGCTGTTTTTCGTTTAGCACCAGTTGATTATCATCGTTTTCATTCACCAGTACATGGACAAATTGGTTCTGATATGAAGAAAATAACTGGAACTTATTATACAGTCAATCCTATTGCAATAAAAGAAAATCTTGATGTTTTAACACGAAATCAACGAACAGTAATTACAATTGCGAATGAATCGTTGGATAAAATAGCTTTTGTTGCTATTGGTGCATTACTTGTTGGATCAGTTAATTTTACTGTTGAATGTAAGCAAACAATTGACAAAGGAGATGAACTTGGTAAGAGAAAAAAAGCACATATTCAAAATTTTCGTTTTTTTGTATATTTAGGTTATTTTGCTTATGGTGGTAGTACAATAGTTGCTGTTTTTAAAGCTGGTATGGTCAAATGGGATGATGATTTACAACATAATTCCGATAATTCTATGGAAACACTTGTTCGTATGGGTGAACATATTGGTAAACGACGAACCGATGAAGAACGTCAGGAATATCTAGCGAATAATCCTAAAACAACAAAGAAAAATGCAACAGTCGCTGAATTATTTAATCTTGTTCCTCTAGTGAAAAATGTCAAATGATAATTTATGACACCTATTTTACGTATTCTGCTTCGTTCTTTTTGTGATATTATCTATTTTATTATAATATGACTACAAGTATTGATATTTACTTAATAATTCTTTTCTTTTTCAGATCGAATAAAAAACTAAAAATGGATACTGAAGATGAAACAAATCTGATTTCATCTCCTATAAATGTTATGACAACAACAATTGCACCAAATCATTTTTTACTTTCAACTTATAAAGAAAATCTTCGAACAAATATTGATAATAATCCTGATGATCATTTATCTGCACTTATGATGAATATACATGGAAATATGAAAATAAACCCATTATCATATAAATGTTGTTTATGTCGAAAAATAGTTGATGATGCATCATTAACGTGTACAAAATGTGTTAATACAGGTCATTTTTGTCCATCAAAACATGATACATGTTCACATAAACGAAGACAAACATTAGCAAATATGTTAAATTCAAATGATTATGAAGAATTTCAACAATACTCAACTAAACATTCAATTAATACACCACCACATTTACAGTACCAAAAATTAAATTTCTTATATATTTTATTCGAATAATTTCTGTTTGAATATTTAGATGTTCGGATCGAATGTTTCTATTAAAAAAATTCAATATGCAAAAGAAAATTTTACAAGCAGAGTAAATTTTGATAAAATATTTTTAAAAAAATCTAAAAATCTATTCTTTATAGATATCAAACAAAAATGGAATCAAAACTTCATCTACATAAAATGGTATTATAAATAAATAGTTTAGAGAAATAAAAATCTATCCTATCATTGATATAAAATTAACTCGTATCGAGACGAAACTTCTACAATCAAAGAGAAAGTGTCGATATATTCATTTACTAGTTGAGGGAAAGTAAATTTTGAATCTATTGGAATTAAATAACATGATCTATTATGTCTAACCTAATTCACTGTGATAATCCATGCTATGATTAACACTAGGCATGTAGCGAACCCAAACGTTCGGGTTCGGGGTGGTTTGGACCGAACTCTAACAATTTAAGCATCGCAATGATTTTTCTGATATATATGGAGACATACTAATAGAAATTAAGGAACATCAACCAAACCCGGACAGTTTGGGTTCGATTGATGTTTCATCATTTCCTTTATTATGCTTCCACACATGTCAGAAAAGTCATTTCGATGCTTAAATTGTTACAGTTCGGTTACATACCTAATTAACACTGAAATTTTAATGATTATATTTCATTTTATTTTTTTTAGTCTGAAGAAATTCTAATACGCAAAAATCGTCTTAATCTTGTTAATCAATCTATAACACGATTACAAGAAAAAATTGAACGAGGTATTAAAAAAAAATAAAATCTATCTATTTTTTATTTATATTTCGTTTAAGATAAAATAATAAATACGAAAACTCATATACGTAATAATAAAAGACGTTCAAATATTCAGTTACTTGAAAAAAAAATAACTGAAATAAAAATGGTATTAAAATCTTCAAATGATGCAAATCGAAAAAAGAATGATATACGTATTGAACAAGAGAATAAATTATATGCTATTCGACGACAACGTCTTAATGAAGTATATAAATATATATTTCCTATTGAACATGTATCATCAATTGAAGAGTAAAAATGTCTTGTTTTGTTTCTATAAATATATTCTTTAATTATAGAGATCTTGTATCAACAATGAGAGCATTATCAAGTGCACAACAACCGATTGTTGATGAAATAAATAGTGATTATTCAGAGAATGATGATTCATTAAATGTTGGAGGTGATCGATATCAAATTGTTAGTTCATGTTTACCACTTAACGGTGATTATCAAATTGCTAAACGTAAACTATCTTAATTCATTTTTTTTTTGAAAATCTACTTTTATTTTTTTTTTCTTCAAGTTCTTATAACAGTTGATGTTGATGGTAAAAGTCCTGATGTTGATTCTCTTCAATCAACACTTTCACATGAATTATACGAAGTACTTTCGGCATTATCACATGCTTGTCAATTAATCAATGTTATCGCATTTTATCTTCATATTGCATTACCATTTCGTTTACATCAATTGTAAGAGAGAGAGAATTTTCATCTTATCTTATATACTAAATAAAATTTTATTGCTCTAGAGAATTTAATACCGATAATTTAACAACTGATCGTCTTCGTGCTGATATTGCTAAATTAAATGCAAATATAGTATGCAGTTGTTTATCTCAAGGTATCTTAATTGACAATACAAATGCAACACATACACTCGAAAATTTATGTAAATTATTAACATTTAAACGATATCTTAGTCGGTTAGTATTATTAATGATTGTAATTCTTCCTGTAAAAATTTATTTCTTGTATTTAAGACCAAAACCAGTAGTATATTCTCAACAATATATTAATATGATGGAAGAAGAAGTAAATGAAATAAGTCGTGCTTATGTTACGGATTATTGGTTTGATGATGTTGAAAAAGATGTAACTGATCTTTTAAATAGTGATGAATGGGAAACAGTACCACAAGGTAAAGAAAAGAATTGTTTTGAAAAACAAAATATATATATTTATGAAATTTAGATTATCATATACCAGAAGATCCATCTATACATGAACGTCTTGGTCCATTACCATCATTAACTTCTCAACAACAACATATATCTGTTATGAGTGGTTCATTCGATTTTTTGAAAAATAAAGGTTCTACTCTAATCAATTCAGTTTTTCGTAGTTTGGCAAAATCTTAAAAACAAAATTTTTTTTTGTCCTTTCCTTTTGTTTTTCTTTTAAATTGGTGCTGGTTTTTTTCTGTAAAATTATATACATATGTATCTAAATATAACATTTTTTTTTAAAATTTATTCATAACGATAACAAAACAAAAAGAACTTAAATCAGTAAATTTTTTTTCAGATTATATATCATGTCATCCAGTACGACATCCGCTCATTTTCTTCAAGAAATGGCTTATCCACCTTATTGTATTCAACCATTAAAATCTTGGGGTATGGTTGCTGTTGGTGGTGGTGGTGGTACAGCTAAAACCGGTGTAGGAAATGCTGTTGATTTAAAATGGATTTATTTAAATCAATCATCGGATCCAACTAATAATAAATGTTCGATACAAAATGTGAACAGTTTTACTCAACATGACAGTGTCATGAGAATGGTATCATTACGAAAACAACATGAATATCTTATATTAGCATTAAATCGTCAATTAAAGATTGTTATGCTTAAAGCATCTGAAAGAGATATGGAGAGTGGAGTAGCATTTAATCTACCACCACCTCCAACAGCTGATAATCAAGATACAGGATCCCTTGCACCACCTAAACGATCTGTACGCCGACGTCATAATTCATCATCATCGTCCGTCATAGATCCAGTTAATATTCAACATCGTCCATCAATTGTATTACATCGAAATGGACAAGCAACTGTTGAAGCTGTTGGAAATGAAACAACAACTGTTGTTACATCACCAACTAGTCGTTCAATTTCATTTAGTTTTCCACCTACATCACCAACAACAGCAGTAACAATGAATAATATTTATACTGTTCCTATTCCAGACCAAGAATATGTTAATGCATTGGTAGTTTGCCCAGCTACACAATCAAAACTTTTTGTTGGTTAGTATTATTAAGAATTCTATAAAAAAACAACAATAAAATCATTTTCTTATTCAGGTGCAAGTGATGGTTCATTAACAATCTATGAAATTATTTGGCCTGCTTCATCATCAAGTGATCGTTTAATACAACTTAATTTATTAACATCATTTACAGCACATACAAAAGAAATTGATGATTTAGCTGTTGATCCATTTGGAAATTGGCTTGTTAGTGTATCACGTGATCTTCGTGCTCATATTTATCAATGTTCATCACCATTTGATAAACATAGTGAATTAGATCTATCTCAATTTGGCACGAATAAAACAGTACAAACACCTAAACCATTATATCGTATTCGACATGTTCGTTTTGGTATTTCACCCAAATCATCATCATCCAATGCATCCTATTTTTTATATACAAGTCTTATACCTCAAATTATTAATGATAAATTAGTTAGTTATATTGTTCAATGGACGGAAAATAAACAACATCAATTTGTTGTACGACAACGTCGTGTAGTTTCGTACGATCGAGTATCAGCAATAGCTGCTAGTAATTGTGGTCAATATGTTTCAGTTGGAGATGCTGATGGTTGTGTACGAATATATGATACTGATCGTTTAAAATTATTATATGAAAATCGAGCACATTCAATATTTGTTACTGATTTAGCTTTTGTTTTACGTGAAGAAAATTATTTATATGAAACAAGTGTATTGAGTATAAGTGCGGATAAAAATCTTTATGTACATAATGTACATCCACCGCAAACAAATATATTTTCTGTTTCATTTTTAATTGTTATCGGTCTCTTGTTACTCTTTTTATTATTGTCACAAATTCGATTTCGATTTCAGTAATTTCTCATTTATTTGTTTTGAACGTTTTACGATTATTTATTTAAGAAAAAAAGAAAAGATAATTATATGTTATTTGGGTTTTAGATCAGCATCTCATCATTCTCTATATTGGTACATAGTGCTCTCATATTGCTTCTTCTATTCAACCCACCTAATCGATGGTACTCATTCATCTACGGTAATTTATTTCTATTAAACTAAATTTTTCTTTCATTGAATTCTTCAAAAAAAGTGATATAGATTGAATTATTTAAGGACAAAACTTTTCATATCTGTAGACATTTCAATAGTGTATCAGATAGAAAGTATCTTATATACAATGTTTAATATTTCCAATAGATTCATTATTAATGTTGTTTTATTAGAGTCAAGTTTTGTTTCTTCTCATTTTTAAAGGCATAATTTAATCTACTGAGTGACTCTGCTATTTATTCTAACTTGTTAAAAGAAAAACTAACTTCACTGTTACTGACATTTTAATTGCATTTAGATCACAATGACAGTAAAAAATCTTTCGCAATATCCTACATCGTGAGTTTTCCTTCCTACGATATGAGTAAGTTAATGTCAAAACAGTTATGTTTCTTAAAATATTGATAATTAAAAACAAGTGTTCAAAAACAGATATATCGCTGTTGAGTTTTCTGAATTTTGTTAACTCAAATCATAAAACATGTCATTGATTAAGTATCAACACTATGATAAATTTTTGACTTTAATTTTTAGATCTCAATTCCACGATGTTTAACACCTTCCAACCTCAATATCGACGTCTTCAAAACAACGTCTTTTGTATCTTTTTTTTGTAATTTGATTTTAATAAAATATATCAGCATATCTCGAAACTTCATAATATATCATTATTGTTTTAAATAAATAAATTTTTTTTAATGTTATCTATTTAAACGAATATAATATAAAATAAATTTGATCAATTACCTTCTTTGAATGAAATAAATATAATGAATTTCGATAATATACAGTTGATCAATTAGAAACAATGAAAAGTGGTGAAAGTAATTTTACTTTATTGTTTATATGCTGTTAGTCAAGCATTTCAAACATCTGAAATTATTCGAGGTTTTTTTTGAAAAACGCAGCTAGTGATTGAACGTGTTACAAAAATTTGTAAATTAAAATATTTTCAAGGTGTTCGATAGAAAAAAGAAATTTTTGATGCTTTGAACAAGTTTGAAGAAACATTTTCAAATGAATAATTCATCAGGTAACCTATTTTTAAATGTTGATGTCAATGTTTTGTCAGTTAAAGCTGCAAAACAAATAGGAAATGCTTGAATACCTTGATAGTAATAATAATAATAATATCATGATTTTTATGTATTGAATAAACTAAGATAAATATTGTGTCTTTTTTATTATTGTTGAGTAAAATTTAATCTCTCTATTGAATTTCTTAATTATATTCATATTTCATTATTCAATTAGAAATTCTAACGTAATCGATACAATTTTTTATTATTAAAATTTAACTTCATATCTCACTAAATAATATAAAACGCAATATGTTAATAAGTTCATATATTGACATAATAATATCAAAGTTCTAAGTAAAGTAATATTATCCTATTTTATTAATCCCGCTGGCCTTGATGTGTAAATACTTTCAATGAACACGTACAATAGAATATAATCTAAGAATTTAATTTACAACTGATGAAAGTAATAGGTATCTTTTGTTAAGAACAAAAGTGTCAATTTAGGATTAACATTGCTTTTGTATCAAGATTTTAATACAAAGATAAACTACGTCAATATTTTTCACTAGTATATAATACTTCTGTATTCATATTTTCAATATAAAGATATAAGAATTAGCAATAGTAATGCTAAATTAACACTTCTAGCATAGATTTAAGGAAAGATAGAATTAATTATTTTTCTCTTTCGATTATTTTAATTTATTTTTTTTTGTAATATTTCATTGAAATTGTCGACTTCATTTATTACACTCTCTTTACTCTACGTTATTGATAGGAGAATGAGTAAGAAACCAACATCGAAATAAATGTGTTTTTAATTGAATTTTTGCTTCACTTGTATTACTAATGAGAGAAAAGTGGCCTTGTATCTATTTGTATTTAAAATAACAAAACCAATTTGCTAGAATTAACAGAGTGAATGAGATGCCATTCAAATATAAAATAGAATAACAGGAACAGGAAAATTATTTTGAATAAAAATTTAATTATATCTTTCCACAAAAAATCATGAATTCAGGGTAAATAAAAATGTGTCGAGTGTTTCTTTCTCTCCACTTTTAGTTAATAAATATACAGCTGCTTCATTTTTGCAAATAAATTAATTTTTGTTATATCACAACAAACGTGTAAAAAGCTTATTAGCCTAAAGTATGTTTCAATTTTGACTTCCTGTAGTCTATGTTTACTCCATTATAATTGTAGTTTTCTCTTAAAATAGAATGACTATTTATCAGCTTATATTCAAAAATATCATTTAAGTAGATCAATTTGTAAAACCTACTTATTTCATAAGTTAAATTATATTTTTAGAATGAACAAATAACGTATTTCTAGTCCATCGATTATTAACTAATTTCAAAAATAAGAATTGTTAGATGAATATAAACATCTTTCAAGCATTAACTTGACTTTAATTTACATATTTCTTTAGCATAACAAGAAAAAATTTTCATACAATATTCTAGTTGGAAAGAAAAAATAATTTTACCAATAACAATTCTATTCTATATTAAAATACTTAGAAAATTATAACTATATCATAATTATACAAAAAAGTAAAATTCGATTGTCATTTATTGATTGCAGCATTGAGAACAATCAATTTTGTTCTTTTGAGTACCAATCGAGATGAAGTATGACAAATTGCTTTTACGTCACATCATGATCTTTTATTAGTTTAACAAAATTTATAGGACAATACAAAATATTTAGATTTTATCATTTGTTGTTACCGGTAGTAATTATTGATTTACCTAGAAAACCGGAATTATGTCACAAAAAAAATCCATTAGAACATACATTAAAAACCAACTCGGATTCTTAATGTTTATGATATTTATGAGAATGAGAAATAGATGATGTCACGTATAGAAAATAGAAAGTATATTATAGTACTTACTTAATGAAAAAAAAGGAGAGAAAATGTAATTTTTTTTACAATAATAATAATATTACACTTAGCTATGTGCGTAGGGTGTTGTTTGTCAAATATGATATTAGATAAATGATGTCGTATATATTTATTTGAGAATTTGACTGTTGCAGTTATTTTATATAGATCTCAAAGTTAGGTAGGGTAAGAGAAAAATGATTAAGTAGTTAATTGTTCATATATATATATATATCCAATACATTTTTTATTTTTATTAGTAGATTATAAACAAGAATGACAAGTTCGAGATGAGATTTTTATTACATAAACGAGAAGAGTGACAAGCCAGAGGCATGCTGTTGAAAGCTAATTACTTACTACTTGTGAAGACTACTAAAACTTTTTCTTCTCTCTCCCTCTCTCTTTCACTAGTTAAGAGATTATAAATAGGAGAGACTAAAGAAAGATAGTAAATAGATTGCAGAAAAAGAAGCATCTTCATAATTCTAAGCAATAATGAAGAAGAAGGCGTTAGTTTCTCTTTATATGTATTTCTTTTTTTGCATTTAGAAACTTTCATACTAAAAGGATCGATCATCGTTCAACTACTAAGCTATCTAGTGCAAAAGAAAACAAACTACCATGTATTCATTCCGTCAACAATTAACAATCTTTTTTTTTGCTTTTTTTCTTCTGATCTGTATTGTACAAAGTTTTCGAATTGTAAGTTTTTATTATATATTAATTATGAATGGCTTTATTTATTTATTTATTTATTTAGAATGAAATTGACCGTGTTATTGATGACAAGAATCTTGCAAATGAACAAGCTATTAATACTGCTCGACTTC